CTGCAAAAGTTAGAATTAAAAAAGACAATATTAGAACTTCCTTCGTCGATGCATCATTAGTGTTTTGAAGAATAGTTTTTCAATTTTCAATATTACAACATTATCAGCTCTTATATCAATGAAGGTAGGAGACGACTTGATGTTGTACGGTAGATGATCGAACACTTATACTTTGAAAGATTATGTATGATATATCTGATAAAGAGTCTGTTTAATAATAAAAAGGTAATTAGAGGTCATAGAAAAGTATAGCACGACCCGTTGATACCAACGATTTTATTAATTATTGTCGTATTTGATCTCTGTTCATGAAAGAAGATGACATGTTTTTGCCAGAAAGCAATTAACAAGAAAATAATATTATTGAATACTCAGTGGCTCCTACTCCAATCCCCATAAGAGAAAAAACAGAGGACTAACAACGATACATGGTAGAATTCATACAAAAATAGAGGTTTTTCTTTTATGGATAAGGAATAGGAAGAAAAAAAAACCTTTTCCAATAATTCGACTGATTAGAATTATCAACCATCATTGTCGACCAAATGTACCCATTTATTTTATTTTTCTCAAGTATACCATATGTCGCGTCTCCTTTTTTTATCTTATACAATGATGAGAGTAGACATGGACAAGATCTTTCTTCTCTGTCAACAGTTGCGCGAGCAAACGCATGGATATTTACTCTTACTTAATAGAATCCCCATAAAAAATAACCAGTTTTTTTTTTCTTTACTGAAATATCCTTGATGGTATCGTACATAGATTGCATAGTAAACGATCATATATCACTGATACATAACAAATAAGATATTAACTACATCGTATGTATTTTTTTTTTGACGATATATTTACTAAAAGGAGAAAAACAACAGATTATTAAATAAGAATAGAATGTCTTGATAATAAAAAAAACATATGTTTTTAAAGAATGAATGATCGTAGAATTTTAGATTTGTCAAAAACATCGTTTTCAGGTACATATTTTCTAAAACTAAAGAATATAGAATCATTGCCTCTTACAGAAAACTTTTAATATTATTAGTCTTTACGTGCCAATTATAAGAAAAGAGAGAGAGAGGAGAGAGAGAGAGTCTTGGTTAGGATACAGATGCTTAAAGATCTAACCATACTGGCAAGAAATAAGATCCAAATACTGTGTAATTGTTCTGATCATTTAGAAAATTGGTTTATATTTTATTATACCATAGTTTCCTCACTTTTAATTCACATGTGTGTAGAATAGAATAGTTTATTTATGCCTACATAAGGTTATTCTAGATAAATATTCGTAGTTAACTATTTTAATCAATCTTTGACTATTCATAGTCTTAAATTTGTTATATCATCACTTAATACTAACTGATTGTATATACAATAAGTAAGACTATTATTGTAACTGTCTTGCGTGTGATCACTATTACTATGTCCGATTATTGAGTTCGATATATATTTGTACATCTATTTTCTCCTTGACATATTGTTATCTTTTACATCAGAAGATTGTTTTGTTCTTGATTGTAACTATCTCCGTTAAGAAGACGACGACTACTCTATTGACCATGAGAACAACTTACAATACTCAATCAGGCACACACAACAGAACAATTATAGAAAGAAACATTTTCAGCATCTGTACAACTTTTTATTAGAGATGTATGTACATAGAAAAAGGAAAAATCTTTTCTTTTGGATATCATCAATTTTTCTTCTTTTTTTTGTGGTTGTGATAAAGTTGATCTTTTGAGATAGTCGGGCTGGCGCCTACTATTTTCATCGATAATATACAATTATTAGTAAGACCTTCTTTTATGTCGTTTTTTTCTTCTTCTCATAGTGTGTGTATTTCGAAGAGTCAACAACAACAACAACAACAATAGACTTACTTTGCATGAAAACTATTGCTTAACGCTTGTTGGAAAAATAATAATAATAATAATAAGTAATAAAAAAAAACGAAGAAGTTTATCTGATAGTCGAATCGTACAAAAGTAGAAAGTAAGTCTTTTAGCACTATGGTTTTTTGTTTTAAAAGTCTCTAAATTCATGTTATTTATACAGTTTAAAATATTATATCATTGCATATTTCTTCATCAACTAATTCTTATACTACGCAATGTTTTAGAGTCTAACATATTTTTACTCCAAACACGTTTTTTACTAGTGTAATCCTCTTCTATTTCGTATTTTTGGCAACCATAATTAAAACCGAATCGTGGTAATGTACCTTTTTTTCTGTAATACCGCTTACCTCATAGACTTGTAGATTTTCAGTTATTTTTGAGATTTCGGGGTTCTGAAGGTTTTTACTCAGCATTTTTAATGGAATTCAATAAAACAGAGTGTAAGATAAAGTGCTAGGATGTAGAAATTCAGTTCAATGGAATGAAGGCGAAACCAGACTACATTGATAAGATTTTTAGAGAAAAAGGCTTTGGTATGTACTCACTACTGATAATAACTCACATTTTAATGATAATTTGTATTTTTCACTATATATATTTCGCTTCACCTTGAACACGGTGATAGCGTTGATACTTAGAACTGCTTAACCGCAGGTTTACGCGTGTAATCAGCTGCTCTTTCCGTTTAGTATCCCGTTATAATAAACAACTCCCATGTCGAATATTTCGTTTGAACATTATCCAATATTACTTAATATTATTTTCTTCCTCCATTTGTCACATGAATTTATATGTCGCAGTAGCAATTATCATTTTAAGGGATGTGTACCCCCCCCCCCTACCCCCACTCACAATATAAATATCTTTTGATCAGATTGTAGCGGAGATGAAACTGTATATACCCTGATAAATACTTTAGAAGGTAGTACGGACAAAACTATAGAAACGATTTGTCTTTGATTTTTCTTCTCAACCATAAAAGCAAGAACAAATCTGAAAAAAGACTATAATAACCGGAGTATTCAGTTTGATGTGGTGTATATAAAGTTTTCGTCGAAATTTCTAAAAGCAGGATTTCTGGAAAATCAAAATGTCAGTAAACCAAGTCCCTGAATGCGTTCGAGAAATTCTTTGAAAATAACTCCATCGTATAGAGTAAACATTTCTGAAAAAAATGAGACGTCGCCGAGCTTTCTATGACATGTTTTCATGAAACAGCACTCAATTTACGAAAGGCCCTGAGGGCAAAGCTTTCATCTTTTTCCGTTAATGTTGCTGATTTTGGCGGTATGCGATCTTTTGTAAATTGAGTGCTGACTCATGAAAACATATCGTAGAAAGCTCGACGACGTCTCATTTTTTTCAGAAATGTTTACTCTATACGATGGAGTTATTTTCAAAGAATTTCTCGAGTGCATTCAGGGACTTGGTTTTCTGACATTTTGACTTTCCAGAAATTTCGACATAAACTTTGTTTACTTTTTTATTCAGAAATTTATTTGAAACGTTATATATATACTACATCAGACTGAAACCTCTTCTGGCTATTCAGATCTTTTTTCAGATTTGTTCTTGCTTTTATGGTTGAGGAGAAAAATCAAAGACAAATCGTTTCTATAATTCTGTCCAGCACTACTTTCCAAAGTATTTATCAATCCAAATATACTATATAATAACATTTTATCATAAGTGTATATATCGTTTTGGAGCTTATTTAATTCTCTATCGAATAGTAAACAATATTGAATGATATACTTATCCTGAAGTAAAAAATGTGCCCAACACAACCTCAAGTGGTAAGAAATCGTTCTTTCTCCTTTTTTCTTTTGGAGCAAGTACAAAAAATTCGGTATTTTTTGGGATTTTTTTTCCAAAATGACGCTCACAGCACGCAGAATTGTGTGACGCATCTTTCTGTCATAATACTTTTGTATTATAATGCATTGTATATCTGAAATCTCAGGCAAGTTTTTAAAAAAGTACGTTTTAGTAGCAAAAATGCACTGTAATGAAAAAATCTTTTTACTCTGAGAGTAATCATTCAATCATCGAAAACATTTCACGCTATATGCAATTCGATGTGTTCTATCGAACTATACAAAAATCACACGTAAACCTTTACTTTTAAAAGTTTTTTGAAATTTTATACCAACAGGTGGCCTATAGAGGCATATAACTTATAAAAGCCATAGCTCTATCAAAACGAGTTTGTTTGCGAAAAAATTTCAGGGTATATACAGTTTCACCTCCTCTACAACCTGGTCAAAAGATATTTATATTGTATGGCCTTAATCTTTAGAATGTCTCATTTTTTTAATGCTACTAGAAGAAAGTGTTCTAATTTTCCATCTAATAGAAATTAAAAATTTTTTTCATATGAGTTGGACAACGATGAAAACTATGAGTGAAGAGGAAAGAATTGAATTTACAAATATAAAAGTAAACAATCAAAAAAAGAAGAAGATACATCATAAATGATATGTGTGCAAAAAAAATGGAAAACTATTGTATAAAACTTGATGTTTATATTGCAACGATAAATGAGAAAGTTGATATTATGTTGGTCATGATAGTTGAATTGGATGACGTCTAACACAAATTTTGAACAGATATTCAGAGTGAACAAATATTTTAAATTAGTTAAAACGGATGAATCATACGTTGTCCATAATGAAATGTTTATATAGAGCAAGAAAAGTTGAATGTATGGTAAAAATGTTATTTTGAGTAAAGATAGAACTATTTCGAATGTTTAGTCTTTATTCTTTTTCTACTACACCACGTACTGTGTCCATGTTGATCTCTAAGAATAAATAATTTGCCCTTGTGGTTTCTGTCAATGAATAAGAAGAATTTTACACAAATCGGTTGGTATATAAAAAAGTTTTTTTGTTTTTACTGTATGTTTCTTCTAGTAAAGTTTTATATTATAATACAATATAGACATCAAATATACCCAAATGATAAATTGACACACACTATAATCAATCATGACAAATACATAGTTCAACAGATATATTATTCTTGAAAGACATGTAATCGATTCTTGTTTTATGTATTTTAGATTAACAGTAGCCAATAGTAATAAAAAAAATAATGCGTTCAGCATCAGTAGATTATCGTCATTCTCACCATAATAGTAGCAGTGGTGGTCATCATTCAAATCTACATAATTCATTGGCATTGGATAATCATACTTTCTCATCAGCTGGAGCATCAGACAGACAACAATTTAAGGATAATTATCAAAATCGAGTAAGTTATTAATAAGATAAATAATTATAATTAATAATTTCATTTTGTTTTAGTATGCATGGTTAGAAAAAAATCATGTAAATGAAGTTGGTTCAACATATAATCGATTAGGTAAAACTGTTGGTCATAAACCAAGTTATTGGCGATGTGAAGATCAGGCAATTGCTGGAAAGTAAGAATTTTTCAAGTAAACACTCAAATTTTAGCATTCCTTGTTTTTTTGGTTAACTATAGAGAATTTCAACGTTTGAATGATGAATGTGCTGATAAAATTTGGGAAATACGTGATAAAAGTGATATGTCGAGAGAATGGCTTTTGGATGCTGATGGTGTTGCACCAAGATTTTATAAAATGGAAGCAGATGCTGTAAGATCATTCTCTATTTTGCTAATAAAAAAGAACGGGTATTTGATAAGATCTTTTATCGTTTTTTCTAATTTTAGTTAAAAAATCGATATGAATTAAATAATATGAAGAGAAAATTAGAGAATCTTAAATCGATGCGTACACGATTATTAAAATAAGAAGATTAATTTTAGTTTGAAAACGTATTTAAAACAACACAATGAATAACGTTTCTTTTTATATGTTTTATTATTATTAAAAAAATATCTCATGTTCATTAAAAATATAAAAATTACGACCAATGGGGAAAGACGTTTTATTGTATTGTACAGAGCTGGTATTGGTCAAAAAACATCCTCTTTCCATTATTGATGTCTATGGTTCTATCTTGCACAGCCATCGTCAGCTTCTACCTCTTTCTTTCTTTGTCTTCCTCAGCATAAATCATCACATCACGAAAAATATACGCTCAAGAGAAGAAAAACAACAACATCAACAACAGATATCTATCTATATTCTTACTCTTTTCATTATTTTTTTTTTTTGTGCACACTTTGTGAAGTCAATTTGTATTTGTGTATTTAACTTTGTTTTCTAATTTGTTCCTAAACCCAAATGAAAAAATAGCTTTTCTTTTCTAGAACAGTTAATCTAGGTTTTTTTTGTTGTTGTTTTTCATTGAACATAATAATAATAATAAATATCATAGCAAAATACTTTGTACAGAAGAAGATATGAAAGACATTAGAATGTATGATAGTGAGACTAAAATAGAAGTACAACAGTTTCTAAACGACTTAATATGCTCTTTGTTTTACAAAACAAGCTAAATATACTACAACAGCAGTGCCAGCAATGATCGTTACTCCAATGATCGTTGATGGAACAGAGTAAAGAATCGATGACTTTATAACTCTTGGTTTTTTTGTAGTTTGACGAGGAACAGGAAGTCGTGTGGTTCGAACACGCGGTGTTCGAATTGGAAGAGTTTTTGCCCATGATGATGGACGTGCTAGAAGATAAGTAGATACCAATACTGCAGAAAAAGGAGAAGAGATATTTTCTATAACTGAATTAGTCCCTGTTGATTATATAAGAACATTCATTAATAATGACGATATCTTATTCATTTTGCGTGAACACAGCATCCTTCACATACCATTTGATAGAGTTTTCAAAACTCTATAAATATATATATATATATCAGAATAAACAACTTTTGAGTTGGAGTAATTTAAACAACATACATAGGTACCATTCTAATAATATTATTAAGTGTTCTAATGGCATATATATATGTTCAATATGAATGGATATTAAAACACTACTTATTTAGGCGTTCCGAAAAATATTTCAGAAATATAGTTTTGGAGGCCTTTTTTAGGGATATCAATTACTATACAACGTAACGTTCGCAAACGTTTCGTAACAGAAAATAACACTAAAATAAAGTAAGCTTCACAAACGATCGACTTTGATAACCATTTTTCTCTGCTGTGGAGAAGTGTAGACCAAAATGAATAAAATATCGTCATCGTTAATGGATAATTATAATTAATAGGGGCTGATTTCATAGACGACAGAGCATCTCAGAATCACGAGCTTCAAACAAAGTTCCCATACGCCCATCGATTATCATTTGTCTATGTATGTTAAAATCACGCTGTCTCCGCCACCTCTAGCTACAATATACTTATCCTCTTCAAGGTTTTTAATTTATGATTTCTGGACTAGTGAGTGATCTAGTGCAGAAATTCAGTATTCAGACGGTATTCTACTTCATTTGTTATAGAGAGAGTGGATAGAAGAACGATTAGTTTTGTCATACATACCAGTTGTTTGGACGGTCACTGAATCATTACGTTGTGCTGGTTCATTGAATTTCTTTCGATCAATATTTAATGTTTGTTCATCGCTTGCTTTTTTTTGATTTTGCTCGAGAGTGTTTAATACAGATTTATCATTATTATTCTCAACTATGAAAATACAGAAGAAAAAAAAGTGTTTTACGAATGATGATTAAAATTTTGAGTCATCTTTCTTACCTTGTTCTATTTGGACGATATTTCCATTGAGTTCATGAATGAACAGCAAATAACTAATTAATAGAGTACAAAACAGACGAAATGCCTGCAACATCTTAACAAGAAATTTCTATTTTTTATGTGTAATAAACCATACAAGATATTCGTTTACAATGTTTATTTATTTGATTTGTTTGAAGTAGCTTCGAAAAGAAAGATAAGATACAAAGTCATTTATCCTTTTACTTGCTTGTTGAGTTATCATATAAGAGAAGGTAAAACGTGATGAGCATGCCATCATTTTTCGCTTTCTCTTGAACTGATTTTGAAATAATAGTTGTGATACGTCAAAAAGTTGATACTGTTTAATCGTTAGAGGTATGAGACGAATCAAGAACAATCTTTCGATCATGCCAGTATTTCTTGCATACCTTTTTTAATTTTAAAGATCTTTTTGCGTGCTTTGACAGTCATATACGAAAGACTCTCGTCGATACACATGTGAAAAATCGGCTCAAATTGCTTCAACCCATGGGATGAATCAAAAATATTATTTTATTACTCTAGTTTAAACCGTCAAACGGATCTCAGTCAGTTCTCATCGAACAATTTGAAGTTTGATTTCAACGTATTTCTGAGACGATAATGAGTCCAGTGGTATGAAAGTCTACTAAATTAATACTAATTATCTCTAAGATAAATGGATTTTAGAAATAATAAGAAATGCGGTTTATTTAACGAGTATTCTTGATTCACTCCACTCAGAGCTATGTGTTTTCTCGAATCGTCCCAAACGGGACAGATCAAGAAAAGCTGTGGGACGAATTAGTAAAACCACTGGAAGACCGATACTTTGAAGCATTTTGAGCCGATTTTTCACAAGTGTAACGACGAGAGTCTTCCCTAAATGACTCCCAACGTACGCAAAAAGATCTCTAAAATTAAAAAGGTATTCAAAAACTACTGGCATGATCGAACGATTGTTCTTGATTCGACCCACACCGCTCTGCTTACTGGAACATTTTGTCATAGAAATGAACAACGAATGCGTCTATTTTCAATTCGATATACAAAAAACACCGCTAAACGCGTTTAGACACAGATGTGTTAAGATATTAATTGTTTATTTCGATTACAAATCCAGATGCATTTCTCAATCTCGAACAGACGAACTTTCTCAAAATAGCAAACAAGTCCACATGCGTATCAGATCCCTGAATTAATTAAAATAAAAAAGTTAAACTGCAGACGCGCTTATTTTCGAAAAATTTTGACCGATCTTTCAAAAGCGTTCGAGCGAGATCTCGATCTCGATCATAAGAAATGCGTCTAGACTTGTTTTCAAAACGAAAAGTTTTTTTAAGTTTTACACCTAGGCATGTAAGAAAAATATCTAAACAAATTTTCAAGTTATATTTGGTAAGGAAAACTGAGTATTTATTGGAATAAGCTTTTCAAAAATTCTGTGGAGACAGTTCATCATTTGGCGCACATAAATCAGATTTTTTTTTTGTTGTAGACATGGGCGGGCTGGGAAAAAACTTTTAAGGGGGGGTGGGGCAATAAATTTTTTAGAGTAGTGCATACACAAACTATAAAAAAAACAACTCAAAAAAACAAAAAGAATGTAATCGAAATATAATTCTTCACAGGGCAGTAACTGCTTATTTTTTTCCAGGAAGAGCAATTGCCATGCTGGTGGCCCGCCAGTGGTTGTAGACGCATTTCAGAATATACATCTTTATTTCATTCTAAGGCTTTTCTCAGACGTGTGACAACTCCCCTAGTGAAAGTACTTGAGATCAAGTACTTTAGCTACTTAGAAATTTTCTAAAGTACTTGGCTAAACTTCGGATAGTTGTATATATTTTGCAAGTATACTTACCGGGTTACCTGCCAAATACTTGATGAAGTGTGTATCTAGTACTTATACTTGTTAAATTACTTGATAAGTAAGTACCTTTTTTACTGGCAAAAAACTCCAGGTACTCTGGACATTACTTAACCAACTGCTTTTCTAAGTACGTGGTCTCAACTACATTTACTAAGGACGTTTCTGTCTGATCGAGATGGAAATCGTGTTTAACTGTGTTCGAGCACAATTTTTTTGAAAAGTTGAAAAAAAAGTTCATCTGTATGAGTAGCGTAAATTGTCGTTAAATTTCCTCAAAGGACGGGGGTCGATAAGAGGCAAAATCAGCCCCCTCTCAGATCAAGTTCATATTCACGAGTCTAATCTAGCTTTTGTCCGTGATTAAAAACTAGCACCTCAAAAAAACCATTTTCACCCCCCCACGGAAAAAGTTCCGCATCCAAACTTTTCTCTCCTTAAATGAACTTTATTTAGAGTATTTTCCCCATTTCTTCCCTTTGCTCAAAGCAAACGTCAACTACGGTATATCATTCGATAGCCCCTTCAATTCTCCGTGAAAGTTATGCTACACGTCGCAGTCTTGAGACAGATTTGTGAATAACCCGGTTTTTTAGAAAACCGAGTGATCTTAAAGTTTCTTTCAGAAGCCTTTCAACTATATCATTAGACAGCCCCTTCAATTCTCCATAAAATAAGATTCTGGCTAAGTTTTTGCGATGTTGTATCAAACAGTGGCACAGAAAATACGATACAGTTCGAAAAGGGCATTAACACGACTGACTTTATATTCCTAATGTTAAAAAGCCTGTAACACGGTTGTCCACGATCGTAGAAACCTAGCCAGTACCTTATTTTATGGAGAATTGAAGGGGCTATCTATGATATAGTTGAAAGGCTTCTGAAAGAAACTAAGATCACTCAGTTTTCTAAAATACCGGGTTGTTCACAAATCTTTTTCTCAAGACTGCGACGTGTAGCATAATTTTTCTTCGTCGAAATATATAGAACTCGATGCACTCTTTCATTTCACACCAACTGCAAGGTTCTACGTTAGGGAATGTGGTCAGCAGGCGTTCTACAAGTTAGGCCAAATCCGCCGGAAAATGACGAAAATGCATTTTTCTGCTGCGAGGGTAAAACGACTATACCTTTTTTCTAACAAGACTGAAGACTTGTGGTTGTCACCATTCGGTTCAACTTGCTGAGCTCTAGAATATGAGGTAGGTCTCGTCACTGATGTCAGAGGCCGATGTAAATGGTAAAAGGTTTTATATGGATTTGGCCTATAAGTCGATGCCGAAAGTATCACTCTCCAGTAGTATTTTTAGTGTTAGGATCCACAGGTCCCATTTGTTCTTAATATCCTATATAGTACTTTGTAACCTCCTGAAATTCTCTATCGAATGATATACCGTAGTTGACGTTTGCTTTGAGCAAAGGGAAGAAATGGGGAAAATACTCTAAATAAAGTTCAAGTTAAGGGGAGAAAAGTTTGGATACGGAATTTTTTCCGTGGGGGGTGAAAATGGTTTTGTTTGAGGTGCTAGTTTTAAGCATGGAGAAAAGCTACATCAGACTTGTGAATATGAGCTTGATCTGAGAGGGGGCTGATTTTGCCTCTTATCAACCCCCATCCGATTACTATTCATTTCAAATATTGTGTCCACCTATTCTTCTTGCTCAAAGGTAGTATGAATTTTAAAAAAACGCTCGTCCAAGCCAGTATAAAATGATTTTTCGTATCTCCATTTTTCTTCTGCCTATGAAAAACAGAACAAAAGGAGAGATCAGTCAATATTTTCATATCTACAAGGTTATTCTTGCAATATGAAACCATGAACGTTCAAAAATATGCAAAAAACAAGAAATATCGGCAACATTACGGAAACAAATTAAGAAAAAAATTCTCGTCCAAGCCAGTATAAAATGATTTTTCGTATCTCCTGTCTGGAAAGTTAAAATGCTCTAGGACTACGATGTTGACTGAGATATTCTTTTTACTTCAGGTTAGAGATATGCAGAGTAGCTGTTTGTTGACTCTCGACTTTACCCTTTGGCAATAATTTGTTAATTTTTTTAATGTAAATCAATTGCATCGATGAAAAAGATGGAAAAGACCTACCGGTTTCCTGAGATGCTATCGAGTGTTTCAGATATTAGAGTACCCGGTTGCATTTTCGTAAGGCTATCTCATATAATATTTTTATCGTGGACAAAAACTGCATAAGATTAGTTAACGTAAGACTGATTTGAGCGTGGGCCGATTTTGTCTTTTATCGTCCCCCATCCTTTGGCTAATGTTATAATGTAAAATTAAGAATCGATTACAAAATTATTATAATGAATTTGCGAAATGCTGAGCGCTTGTAAAGGGAAATATTAAGTCCTTAATTTCTAAAAATCCGGTCTGAACAATTTTAATGTTATTCTAAAATCATGTAGTACTTTCCGGATACTGCCACAGATGACAACATTTTTTAACGCTTTTGCTGGTTTTTTAGTGTTAATTTTCAACTCGACCAATGGAGTCGATTGCGATTTTCATTTTCTCTTGGATTTTCTTACTTATTCATTTTAATCTGACTAAAGTGAGAAATTTGTAAACAACGTTCGACTAACGTTTGAGTGAAATACAATAGAAGAAAACTACTAATATATGGTTTGGTTTGGTTTAAGCTTTAATCTTGAACCAGAACGAAATCGAGAATATAAATTCCCATTATATCATTCTGAAACTTAAACTATCAAAACTAACTACTAATATATATATTTACTACTGCATGCACAAAAGATAAGAACCGCAAAAGAAGAAAGCCAGGGAAGGACAAAAACAGAGAAGGGACAGAACGAAACAAAAGAGAGTAGCCCACCTAGAGAGGTACATACTGGAAGAAGAGGTTATGACAAGGAATCGTCACAGTCGTATTTGGTCCTATTAATCCGATCAAAATCTTTTGATTTGTTTGTAATACACCAAATAATTCACGAATATTTTCTTGTGTTTCATACAATTGAAAAATAAGTTTTTCATTTTGTTCAATTACTTTTTCGTTTTGTTTGATAATTTTTGGTTTCTATTTTAATAGATCATTACTATTTAATTGAGTTATTTCATTTTGTAATAAAATACGCTGACATATTTCAATTAATGAGAGAAAATGTGTATCGATTGTATCATTTGTCTTTGCTGTGAGATGCACAGAAAGCAGACTTTCCATGACATTTATTTTGGATTCTTTTTA